ATGTCATGGACTTTCATGTGGGAGATCAGGGTTCAAAACACAGCTAACGCAACTTTAAGAAAAAATCTCTTCCAACTTCAAATTGTCATTCAATTACCTTAATTACAAACACCTGCTGACATGACAGGCACAAGCTGGTATAGAAAACACATTTGAACTTGGTCAAAGTTCATTCTGCAAGTCCAATGCTGCAGGCAAAGCCATGCTACATGGCAATGCACACTTGTTTTTACATCGTAAAAACCCATGTCTAGTTTTATTTGTTTTTTCCTTCCCTCCTGATGTCTGTTTGTATTTTTCAGATTTCTCTCTGAGGCGGCTCGTCTCGTTTGAGTTTCCTGAAGGTTCTTTGACAAATACAGAAGCAGCTAAAGCTGCAAAATGGAAACATTTTGTCTCAATCAAAGTAAAACTATCAGAATCTCAAAGGTCTGAGTCAGAAAACAAACTCCTCACCTCTGGTGTTTTTTTCAGGGACGACCCGAGACATTTTACTGCCCTGAGCAGTAAATTGCCTTTAGACAGAAACCAGCTTGTCTGATTAAAACAGTTACCAACATAATTAATTTGAAACAGAAAACCAGAAGTCTGCCTCATACCTGCCAACATCTGCTGACATCACAAGAAACACCTGTTCATGTTAACCAGCAGCTGTGGACTGAAGCAGTTATAGGGGGGTCCAGGTTTATGCTCTCTTGGAAAATTTTGTGAAAAATCTACTCAAAACTGCATTTTGCAGCCATTTGAAAAGCATTTTAATAAATTCTTGGGCTTAATAAAACAATGAAACATCCTCTGCACTAGAGCTGGGTGGTACACTGGTTTGTACCAAAAAATGTTTTTTTTTTTGTGGTATGATATGAATTTTCTGGATAAATACATACCAGTTTAAATAGCCAGAACACATTCGGAAAGTTAAGTCCAGCCTGCCCGTGAATTGTTTCATGGGGGACACTTTTCCTCGCAGCACCGCTAGGCGCATTAGCAAGCTAGCCACTGATGATGAAGAAGCTAAGATACTAATATTCTGATATTAACTTCTGCTTTCTACTGAAGTGGCAAAAAAAGCAAGCTAGCAGCTTCTGAATAACTGGCGGCGGGTGGCGATTCCATTGCTTATATATTTTTTGTGGCGCCCCCTAGATGGACGGCACCCTCAGCACTTGCCTACATGGCCTATGAGCCGGTCCTGTTTCTGTCATCGACCACCAACTTTTAAAAGTGTCATCATCCCAGCAATGATGAAGGGATTGAAGAGAACTCCGTGCAATTCTACAGGAGAGTTTTGCAAATAAAATAAAATATTTTCAAAACTATAAATCC